TTCTGGATTTTCTTTGAAGACCTTTCGCTTCTCATCCAAGAAGCTTCCTCGGCTCTTCACATGAGTCTCCCTTCCAAGTCCCCAACCAGGCCCGACCCTGCTTAGCTTTCAGAGAGCACCCAGCTTTGGGTCAAGAGGGACCCGATTCTGCCAAAGCACCAGCGACCGGCCCGGGCGGAAAGTTTCCTGCAAGCCGCCGAGCCAAAGGCCGGGAGCTGCAGCCGCCTTGCCCTCGCCTCGCCCGGCTGCTCTTCCAAGCGCTAGGAGGGGGGCCGGAGGAGGAGGAGGAGGCAGGCAGGCGGGAGAGTGGGCCAGGCGGGCCGCTCGGTCTCCCCTCCGCCGCGCAATCCGGGGTGGGGTGGGTGTGGGAGAAGGCGGCCCCAGGCGGCTCCAGGCGGGGGGAAGAGCCAGTTCCTGCAGCCCGAGAGCAACGGCGGCTGTGGCGGCGGCGGCGGCGGCGGCCCCCGCCCGAGCCCCAGCGCAGCAAAGATGGCTGCGTGCGCCAGGCAACGCCGGAGCTGCTGACCCCAGGCCCGGCCGGGAGGAGCGCCCACCGCCCGCCCAGACAGAGAGAGAGAGAGAGAGAGAGACGGAGAGAAAGAGAGATGCAGCCGGCCGCGCTCGGCCCACCAAGGAGCCCCGTCGCCGGCCGTTGAAAAAAAAAAACACCCCTCAAAAAAACCCCCCAAAACCCACCCCGGCTGTGGTGGTGACGGCGGCGGCGGCGGCGGCGGCGGCGGCAACTCCCGGGATAGGCGAAGGCCTCCCCTGAGGGAAAGGGGCTTCTCGGACGGCGAATGGAAGCCACCGCCGGCCTTCTCCCGCGGAGGAGCCGCCCCGCGAGGCCCGGCAGCTAGGCGGCCCCGGGAGCAACAGTTGCCAAGCGCCCGGCGTAACTTTGTGGCGAGTCGAGGGAGGAGGAAATCCGCCCTGAGGAGAGAAGGCTGGGAAGGAAGGAAGGAAGGAAGGAAAAAAAAGCAAGCAGGCTGGCCTTCCCCTCGCTGCCTTGCCTTGCCTGCCTGGGCTCTGGCCGGGCGCGGGTGGGCGCGGGCCGCGTGGGAGCCCCGCGCGCGGCGCCCATTGTCTGAGGGCGAAAAGTTGCCGAGCTCCCGGGGCGAGTAGGAGGGTCCTCCTCCTCCTCCTCCTCTTCCCTCCCTCCCTCCATCGGAGGAAAGGAAGGGAGGAAAGGAAAGGAAGAAGAGGAAGGAAGAAGGAGAGAGGGAGGGAGGAAAGAAAGAAGGCGAGGAAGGACTGAGAGAAAGGGAGGGAGGGAAGGGAAGGGGAGGGGAGGGAAAAAAAGGGAAGGAGGGAAAGAAAGAAAGGACAGAAGGAGGGAGGGAGGAGTAAAGGAAAGAAAGGAGGGGAGAAGGAAGGGAAGAGGAGAGGAGGGAGGGAGGGAGGAGTAAAGGAAAGAAAGGAGGGAAGAAGGAAGGGAAGAGGGTAGAAGGAGGGAGGAAAGAAGAAAGGAAGGAAAGAAAGAGAGGAAGGGAGGAAAGAAAGAGAGAAAGAAAGAAAGAAAAAGAAAGAAAGAAAGAAAAAGGAAGAGGAAGGAAGGAAGGAAGGAAACGAAGCGGGGCCGCCGTTGCCAGAGCAGCATCAGCGGCCCGCCAGCATCTCCTCGTCTTCCACCTCGCTGCCGCCGCCGCCGCCGCTGCCGCCATCGCGGGCCGGGGAGTCGCGGAGCTCCGGGCAGGGGAGGCGCAGGGCCCCGGCGGCAGCGGCGGCGGCGGCTGCCATGGAGCCCAAGCACAAAGAGCTGCTGGCCCAGTGTCAGCGGAGCCTGGCGCAGGCCATGACCGAGGTGGAGCAGGTGATCGCGTTGCTGGAGGCGGCCGCCGTGCTCGGCCCCCGCGACTTGCACCAGCTGCGGGAGGCCGGCCTGGGCCCGGCCGCCGCGGGAGAAGGCGGCGAGGGAGGCGGCGGCGGCGGCGGCGGCGGCTCGAGCGAGCCCATCCCGGCCAGCGTGGCCAAGGCCGAGCTGTTGCTCCAGCTACTGCTGGCCAAGGAGCGGGACCACTTCCAGGATTTGCGGGTGGCGCTGGAGAAGACCCAGCCTCACCTGCTCTCCATCCTCTACCTGAACACCCAGGAGGTGCAGTCGGGAGAGTCGGCAGGTGAGTCGGACAGGTTTGGGGTCAACTGGGAGGGAAGGCGAGGGAGAGAGGGGGGAGATCCGGCTCTTTGGGGTGGGGGGAGAAGCAGCGTTGGGCCAAGCAGGTAGAGACTCCCATCCAGGTAGTCCTCGCCTTTGCGATCGCAAGGGAGCCCAGCGCTTCAGTCGCAGAACGAGACAGTCATTAAGGGAGTTTTGCCCGGTCATAAAAACGACCTTTCTTGCCACCATCGTTAAGCGAATCGCGGTCCAGTCCCACGCTTGGGAAGGGAATCCAGCTTCCCCGTCGGTTTTGCTCGCCGTCATAAATGTGAGTTCCGCGGCTGAGCGCCTGAATTTTGATCGCACAGGGCACGTTTTTTCCCCAGCACCGTTGTAAGTCAAGGACTACCTGCATTCCGGATGGAACAGCTTCTTGGGAAAAGTTGGAAAACTGGCTGCAGTTCTTCCCCCCAAAACGGTCATTGCCGGTGTGCAAATGGCGAACCAATCCAGAAAGAGTATGATGGAAATCTCATTTGCAAACATGTTTTTGTGCGTTGAGAAAAATGGGACACTTCCATTCCAGTGGTAACCTTCACAAGTTGAAGAGTTGGAGGCACCAGAGGCTGCAAGGTTGAGCTTATTTTGGTGACACTAAGAAGAGGGTCCCATTTGTATTTGTGGCATCCAACTGAATTAGATTAACGGAGTTGGAAGGGACCTTGTAAGTCATCTAGTCCAACCCCCACCCAAGCGGGAGACCCTACACCATTTCTGACAGAGGGCAGTCCAGTCTCTTCTTGAAAGCCTCCAGGGATGAAGCTCCCACAACTTCCAAAGGCAGCTTCTGTTCCATGGGTTGATTATTCTCACTGTCAGAAAAGTTCTCCTTATTTCTAGATTGAATCTCTCCTTGATCAGTTTCCATCCATGATTCCTTGTCTGGCCTTCGGGTACTTTGGAAAATAGCAGCCCCTCAAATATTGGAAGACTGCTATTATGGTCCTTTTCTTCACTAGACTAGCCGTTCATCATATGTTTTAGCCTCCAGTCCCTTCAACATCCTGGTTGTTCTTCTCTGCACTTTTTCTAGAGTCTCGTCATCTTTTTTATAGTGTGGTGACCAAAACTGGATGCAATACTCTAGGTGTGGTCTTACTAAGGTTTCATAGAGTGGTATTAGTACCTCCCTTGATCTTGAGTGTATCCCTCTGTTAATGCAACTTAGGATTGTGTTGGCTTTTTTTGGCATCCAGATTTGTGGCAGCTCTGGACAGGTGGAGAAATACCTGTGGTTGTGGCTTTGCAATGGTTTTTTTTTTTTTCCCATGGTTGCCTTGGTTGATGGTTGGAGAAAGCTGGAAGGCTTCAGCTGGAAGGACTTTGTCTCTTTGGGTTTGGGCAAAAGTGTTTAAAAAAAACAACAACCAAGATGATGGTTGCACTTCCTAACACCTAGAAATTTGCAAACGGGGGGATTTTGGAGCTTGCCAATGGCTTCACCAAAAGTAAAGAGTTTCTCCTGCTCCAAGAAGGTGTGTGATTCGTCTCTGCTCCCATCCCTGCCAGAAGCTTTTCTTCTGCCCTCGAGCCTTGCTTTCGTTGTGACTTTCCCCCCCCCAACAATTTTCAGAGCCCTAATACTGATGTGCAGGGCTTAAAAAGGCACCTTGCTTCCATTATCTCAGTAAACAGTTGCAAAAGTGCCTTGGGGTAGCTTGTATGAAGTCATAATCCTGACTTCTAAGGATCTGTCTCCTTGCCTACGACCATCCAGCGAATCCAATGGCGGAAGCAAGATTGGGTGGCTAGATTTATCAAAGAGACTCACTACCCAAGTAGGTTTCAGAAGTACGCTTTTGCAAAGAGATACATTTTGGGCAATTCCACTGGGCACTTCCAGAAATTGGATTGCAGGTAGTAAGCGAAGTTGCCACGGCACTGAAAAAAAGTGACTTAGGACAAATTTTCCACACTTATGACCATCAGTCGCATGATTTACATTTGGATGTTTGACAACTGACTCACATTTATGACGGTTGCAGTGTCCTGAGGTCATGTGATCTCCGTTGAATCCTTCTAGACAAGACAAGCCAATGGGGAAGCCAGATTGTCATGCCCCTGTCGGAATCTGACTCAGAGGAAGAAGCCAAGCGGCTGACAGGGAGTGGGAGTGTGGCTCCCTTGGCTGTGGAGGAAACTGGGGAAGGGCACAGTCTGGCTGGGCAGAGCAGGGGAGAGGTAGAGAGGGAATTCAGAGGAAGACCCCACCCCTTCTTCATCCTAGAGCACGCAGGGAGGAACGGAGAAGGGAGGGGAGCAACGTGAGTTGCGTGGCTTATGGGGGAGGAAAGGGCCTTGATTCCCTTCATTAGCTACAGCTGGGAACACTGTTTAAAAAGAGAAGCTGCACAGCAAAGTGGTTGGGAGCAAATCGTGAATTAACTGGTATCGTGGAGGCTTATCTGGGTTCCTGGTGTTTTCCCAACTGTGTTTGCTTTCAAGCCTGCAACCCTGTCAAGTTATTTACTGCAGGGTGGATTGTTCGGATCTTTAGTTACAGTTTGTATGTTTTCGGACTGAATTTCCTCCACTTAAAGGCTGTTCCTGGGAGAGTTTTTTTTCTCCAGCCCAAAGGTAACCTGGACATTGGGGGCAAAATTAGAGGTAGTAAAGGGATTCTTCTTACTCATGTGACTGTGTTGACTTTGAGCTACACCCCTTTGGGTCATCACACAGATTCACTTAACTAATTTAACAACTGCAGTGATTCCCTGAACAAAACGTAGCAAGAAAAGTTGTAAGATGGGGCAAAAAAAAATCACTTAACAAATGTCCCAGTTAGCAACCTAAATGTTGGCTTCAATTGTGATTGTTAACTTGAGGGCCGCCTGTTTTTGACACCAACACATACAATCGTTTGCCTTTGCAGGTGCTTTAGAAATGCCCCGAAGTCTAAAATATTCCCACAACATTGTATTTGCTGAATTTGTCACTCCATGGATTTCTTACCTGTCCTAAATGTTGATTCATCCTGGGCCCAAATTAAAAACAGTGGTTATTGCCTTGAAAAATGGCACGGGACCACATATAAATGCTCACCTCACATTGACAACCATGGAAGTTCATGTGATAAGGAGGGTTGGTGCATCTCACTGTCACTCAATGCCAAGGGTCTCTAAACTTGGCAAGTTTCTAAGACTTGTGGACTTCTAGCTCCCAGAATTCCTGAGCTGACATGACTGGAGGAGGAATTCTGGGAGTTGAAGTCCACAAGTCTTAAAGCTGTCAAGTTGGAAGACCCCTGCTCTATGCAATATAGTTGCTGGCAAAAAAAAAAAAAACCCTCAAGGCAATTTCAACTCAACTTGTCTTGGTAGAGCGTGCAATTTTCAGGACAACAAGGTGGAAGAAGTCTTCCAAGTTTGTTTTGTTTGACTACCAAAATGTTTCTCAACCTTCCCACTTGACATTCTGTGAACACCAACTCCTACGCTTGTCTGGGACATCCTGGGAGTTGGAGCCTGCACGTTTTGAAGTGGCCAACTCTGATAAACATTGGACTCTCCATTCATGTTTTCTATGGTTTTTGGGGATGATCAGGTATCGTTACTGTTATTTATTTTATGTGCGGCCCAAACCAAATTTTCATCTTCTAATGTGGCCCAGGGAAGGTGAAAGGTTGGACACCCCTGTTCTAGGTTATATCTTTCTTTGATAAGTTTCCATTTGTTACTTCTTATCCTGCCCAGAGGTGCTTCGGAGAATAATTTGACCCCCTCTTCTTTGTGGCAGCCCCTCAAATACTGGAAGACTGCTATCCTGTCCCTCCTAATCCTTTTCTCTAGACCAGCCAGACCCAGTTCCTGCAACTGTTCTTCATATGTTTTTAACATATCATATTTGTTATTCACCACGTTTGTTTGTTTGTTTATTAAATCTACATGCAGCCCATCTCACTATCCTAAAAACACTTAAGGCATAGTCTGCCTAGCTTTATAAGCTCAGCTCAGTCAGTTAAATATTGTCCCTTTCTGAAAAATGCTTGGAATATGCCTCGACCTGTCCTTGACATTCCTCTAAAAAATGCTTGCAGGTTTTGGTTCCTTAATGTTTTGTCTGCAGTTTCTTCTTCTTCTTCTTCGTTTTAAGAAGAGGAGTTGCTTTTATGTGATAATTAATTTTTTGGTTTGCCTAGTAACAGCAAGGAGGTAATAATAAATCATAACTGTGGAAGTTTCTTTACTGGAGAGAGAGAGAGAGAGAGAAATGTGGCATAAGAAAATGTTTCCATCAATAGTTACAGGTGTGTCTTTTTCAAAGACAAGCATTGATGAGGAATGGGAGAAAGATATTTCCCTCCTCCCCTTTTCTTTGTTCTTTGGGGGTTTCCAGTGGGGGTGTGTGGGGGTGTCAAGAAACATTGTATTAGGTTTTTTTCTCTTCTTTTCTTACACCAATTTTTACCCCACTCCCTTTTTAAAACTTTCTTCTGCAAATCCCTTTTCTGCTGTTTCCTTTTACTTTGTTTGGGTCTCAAAATATTCCCCTTTTTAGTTGCCTCCTCAAATTTTTAATTTCCTTTCTTTTCCCTTTTTGCTTTAAATCTCGTTGGTCTAAATGCTCATTGAAAAGGGCCTCTTCTTTGATCAACTGGGGAGAGGGGTATTTTTTTTTAATTATTATTTTATTTTGTATAGCATGAGTGGATTTTTACTCTTGTGCGAAGCTCACCAAGTGACGAAGGGGTTTGTGCCATCGTTGGTTACTCGCTCGATGGATACAGCTCCTTATGGGTTCGTAGGCTGTGTCCAAATTGACAGGTTTGTGGATAGATCCGTTGATTGAGTACCAGGCCTTGATGAATTTGCATGCGTGGCCAGTGATTTTTATTCTGCCCCAGTTGAACTGGTGCTGTTTGGTGTTAATGTGGGTCAAGATCGGATGTGGAAGTATCCCTAAAATTAAATAGCAATAGTACTTAGCAATAGCCCAATATGCTGTTTTACAGCCCTCTCT